AATCCAAAGAGGACCACACCAAGACACATCATAATTAAAATGCCAAGAGCAAAAGATAAAGAGAGAATCTTAAAAACAGCAAGAGAAAGAAACTCAGTTACCTACAAGGGAATACCCATACGACTGTCAGCTGATTTCTCAACAGAAACTTTGCAGGCCAGAAGGGAGTGGCAAGAAATATTCAAAGTGATGAATACCAAGAACCTACAACCAAGATTACTTTATCCAGCAAAGCTATCATTCAGAATTGAAGGTCAGATAAAGAGCTTCACAGATAAGGAAAAGCTAAAGGAGTTCATCACCACCAAACCAGGATTATATGAAATGCTGAAAGGTATCCTTTAAGAAGAGGAAGAGGAAGAAAAAGGTAAAGATACAAATTATGAACAACAAATATGCATCTATCAACAAGTGAATCTAAGAATCAAGTGAATAAATAATCTGATGAACAGAAAAAAAAAAGAGGATTAATTAGAGGAAATATTTTAATATTGCTATTTGCCCTTTCTCTATAATTGAAGTGTCAGGGATGAAAGAAAAGTAGTAAAATGTATATGAAAATCTTCCTCCTGTCAGAGTCTGGGGTGTGCCCAGTGACCCAGAGTCAAGTCCCCGCCCACCCATGGCACCTCAAAATTGCGCGAGACCCAGACCCAGCTGGCCCCACCCCCATTGGGTGAGATCCAGACCTGGCCAACCTCACCCTGGTCAGGCTGTGCTGGGCAGGGAGCGCAGCCTCAGGTCGCCCAGCACACCATCAGGTTCCCCGACCCGGGGCTGGGCCCACAGCCTGAGGTACCTCAGCCCAGCGTCAGGGCAGGAGGTGCAGCCTGAGGTACCCCAGCCCAGCACCAGGGTGGTGGGCACGGCCTGTGGTCCCCCGGCCAGGCCCAGTGCCATGCAGCCTCAGGTCCCTGGCTCTCTTCTAGCCAAGAAGGTTTCTCCTACTCCCTTTCTTAAGCTTCACCCATTTCCCTTCATCTCAGAGCTCTCAAATCCATTCCATCTCCTTTCTTCCTCACAGTTGTTTCAAATTGGTCCCCCTTTTCCACTCCAAATCCATTATCTGCTTCCCTGTTTCCACATCCCATCCCAGCCAACAAGTCTCCCATATAGAAATTGAGGAAAGACCGAGGCTAGCATTAAAGCGCCACCTGCTTGTAGGTTGTGTGGGCTGGATTTCAGGTCTGATTTCAGTCTGCCTGTGTCATTGGGGATGGGTTTTTTGATCATCTGTTCCTCCAGAGACAGATGCAACCAGGAAAATAGCACTCAGCTTCCCTTTCAGTTTGGTGTCAGCATACACATCAATTTAGAGAAACCTCCTGGAACCTCTGGTTTTATTTTTAAAATATATTTTTATTGATTTCGGAGAGAAAAAGAGAAGAAGAGAGAAATAGAAACATCAATGAGGAGAGAGAATAATTTACTGGCTGCCGCCTGCAGGCCTAACACTGGGGATTGAGTCTGCAACCCTGTATATGCCCTTGACCAGAATCGAACCCAGGTACTCTTATCAGCTGAGCCAAACTGGCTAGGGAGGGATTTCTGGTTTTAAACAAAAATAATTTGACACCAAACATTGAGACATTCTAGAAGAGGATTCCTGAAGCATCCATCTTATATAAAAGCTGCTGTTTGAAATTTTAACCCTATTTTGGCTTCTGTAAATGCTTGCTTGCTTAAATAATAAGGAAATAAGACTACTCCCATTCCAGAGAGGCCATAAACTATGCCCCATACAGATTTTCAGTGCTGGCACCAGCCCAGGCCTTGAGATATGGTCTCATGGCCCCTTCCCAGCACGCAGACATTCTTTCTCAGAAGGCCCAGAAGTCTCATTCCAAATTTGGGAGACAAAGGACTGGAAAAAGTATAGAGAGTTTCCTCCATACTGGGAGGCCCAGAATTTGAAAGACACATTTTTCTCTGGGCCTGCCCATAATTAAAATGTAACTCCCCTTTCTCTAAGCCTGGCTTGGTTTTTCTCCAGTCTTCTCTAACATTCCCACAGGGAGCTTCAGACTAGCACTTCAGGGCACTTTGCATGAGGGTATTGACTAAGGGGTATTTATAACCCATTAGGTCAGATTGGGAACTTGGTATCTGTATCTTTTGCAAGCATTTAGATGACGTAGGGCAAGGCTAACTGAGGGACAACAGCAATAATTAAAATATGTTTCTTAAAATAACCTGAATCCAAGTGATGATTGGCTTATGAGGTCAAGTCAAGGCCCTGCTAGAGTAGCCACCCAGAAAGCCAAGGGTGGGGAGCAATACCTCAGTGGCTCTCAGTTTGGCCCCACCCCCTGCACCAGCATCATCCCGACTCCCATCTTACCTGGGGTCTGCTCCTTTGAATGAGTCCCTGAAGTGTGTCTCCAAGAAGAGTCTCTGAAGCCAGTCTCCTACCACTTAAATGCTTAGTAATGTGAGCCTGGCCTATATATACCACTAGGAGGGTGAATCTCTTTAAGACCTCACCCACCAAAGCTCCTCCCTGGAGGTGGGACTTGAGTGTGAGGGTGGGGATAGGAGGATCTTCAGAAGTCTGGTTGATGGGATCTCCTCTTGTTCATGCAGGCCATAGAGGACTAACCTTGTTAGTATGCATAATCTAATTTGCTCCTTTATGATCCTCCCTTGAACTTCTCACCACTCTTTAATCCCATCTTTTCTGCGGAAGAAACTGAAATGAAAAGTAAAATCTTGCCCTAGCTGGTTTGGCTCAGTGGATAGAGCCTTGGCCTTGGGACTTAAGGGTTCCAGGTTCAATTCTGGTCAAGGGCACATACCCAGGTTGCAGGCTCAATCCCCATTGGGGGTGGGGGGGGGGGGCGGTTTGCAGGAGGCCGCTGATCAATAATTCTCTTTCATCATTGATGTTTCTATTTCCCTCACCCTTCCTCTCTGAAATCAAAACAAATATATTAAAATAATACTAATAAAGGTAAAATCTTTGCTTCCTTTCCAACTTGGGCCTGGCATAGTGGCTCCCACAAAGAAGAGTGGAGAGAAGAAGGGTCTTTCTGCCATCGAGGAGGTAGTGACCAGAGAACACACCATCAACATCACAAGCACATCTATGGAGTGGGTTTCAAGCAATACATGAAATATATCTGTATGTGGGTGTGAAAAACAAAAACAAAACCTGTAGATATATTTTTTGTAAAAAGAAAATTATAGGAAACATTTGATATCTTGCTTCCCAGCAGTAGTCATCATTTTGGGCTCAAATAAATGCTTATAATTTATTTATTTATTTATTTTTGTTAATCCTCACCCAAGAATTTTTTTCCATTCAATTTTAGGGAAAGTGGAAGAGAGAGGGAAAGACGGAGACAAACAATGACCTAAGAGCAACAGTTGGTTCCTCCTTCATAAGCCCAGACAAGAGCCCGGGTCGGGGAAAAGCCTGTAACCAAAGTATGTGGCCTTGTGTGGAGTTCAACTCAGACCCTTTGGTTGGCAGATCAACGGGGTATCCACTGAGCCAAACTGGCTAGAGTTCTTATGATTATTTTTTTAAAGGAAAGTGTAGAACACAACACAGAGTTGTCTCATATTGTATTATGGAACAATGCTATGTAATAAAAAGCTAATATGCAAATAGACCCAATGGCAGAACAACCAAACAACTGAACAACCGGTCGCTATGACATGCACTGACCACCAGGGGGCGGGCACGGAACATGGTGGGCATTGGCCACGGTGGCATGGTGGAGCGGGGGCTAGTCACTGTCATCAAGACAAGTGTCTGATGGTTACTGAAAATTCTTTGCTCCTGTGCGCCACAGTCCCACTGGGCACTCACACGCACTGCCAGCGCAGGCAACACTCACGCCCACAGCTGGAACTGGAGCCGCTGCTCGCAGCAGCTGCCTGCGGCCAGCGCCTGTCCTGATTGCTCAGTGCCGTTAGTGGGTGCAAGTGGCGACTGCTGGCCTCAAATGCCCCTAAAAGCTTCTCCACCTCCCCTTGCTCCTGAGTGGCGACCGGGGAAGCAGTCACTGCTCAAAACTGCTATCAGCCTGTTCCAGCTGGCCCTTCAATGCTCCCTCTTTCTCTAACTGTACTGACCCAGTGCTGTGACGACACATGACTGAGGGAGTTAGATCCCTGGGGGGTAATGGAACGGCGCCCTGCTGGCCTACATTGCACTTTATAAGAATAAGCACCTGAGATCACCACAGCATAGCAGGGCCATTCTGATCCGTGCAGTGGTCCCTTGTGCCTCAATAAAAGCTCTGAGGAGAAACTTTTCCAGTTATGGAGACACAAATAGTACAGAGATATGCATAGTAAAACTTTATTTCCAAACATTGTAAACAATACCATACAGGTATCCACACAGAAGCGTGTTCTCAAAGGTTGTCAATTTCCCATAAGCTCAAAATGAGCATGTGACCTTGGCAGGTCATACAGTGGTTGTAAAACGTAGGTTTATAGCCCTGGCCACTTGGCTCAGTTCCGTGGAATGTCTTGTCATACAACAAAAAGTGGGCAGTCTTGATTCTCAGTCAGGGCACATAGGCTTCGGGTTCAATCCATGTTCAGGGTGAGTACAGGAAGCAACTGATGGATGCTTCTCTCTCACATTGATGTTTCTCTCTCTCTGTTTCTCCTTCTCTCTCTCTCTCTCTCTCTCTCTCTCTCTCTCTCTCTCTCTATCAGTAAACATCATCAGGTGATAATTTTATTTTAAATATTTTTTTATTTATTTCAGACAGTAAGAGGGAGAGTTAGGGACATCAACGATGAGAGAGAATCCTTGATAGGCTGCCTCCTGCGCACCCCACTCTGTGGATTGAACCCAAAACCTGGGCATGTGCTCTGACTGGGAATCAAAATGAACCAAGACCTTCTGATTCATAGATCGATGCTCAACCACTGAACCACTCCATCTAGGTGCAGTTGAGAAATTTAAAACAAAGGTATGTTTACAGTTGTTGGCAGGCAAAAGTTTATTCTCTTGTTATTTGTTATTAATTACTGTACATATTTGTAACACTATTGTCAACCTGCTTTTGCTCAGCCCTGCACATGAAATTGTTATAAAACATGAGACACAAAGCAAGACATTTAGAATTCCCAAAAAATTACATGGAAAATAACAAACAGTAAATAGAATATGTTTCTTATGGAAACTTCTGACTTAGGTCAGTCAAATCTACAACACAGCCTCCCTAGAACTCAGCAAATGCAGCACAAATTGCAAGGACACCCTTGCCTAGGGAACCAGGGTGTGTTACCAAACAAAGCCAGAGGAGGAAGCCCTGGCAGTGGGCTTCATATCTGGAAAATCCTGCTCACAGTGTCAAAGGTGGTGACCAGCTTGCACAGGCAGGGAAGAAGGCACCCAAAATTGGTTTCAAATGTTCACACTGATGATGACTCCCTACGTATCAGAAGAGTATGACAAAGTATATTACTCATACGGTGACATTTTGGGGGAGAGAAGGGTAGATATTAGAATAAACCCCAGAAGGACTGAGAGCACAGGGAAAGGGACTAGCTTGTGGTGCTCATGTTGGTTACTGGGTGCTGTTGTTGGGAGCCTGCTGACACTGATGGAAACTTGCTTGATTGGAACTTCCCACCTGCACCCAAGGATGGAGCACCTGGACTTTCTCATTAGCTTTCCCAGGTGTAAGGTCAGGGAGGAGAGAAGGGTGAGTCCATAACGCTTTCAACATTCAAACATCAAAAGAGGAATCAGGATTTTGATGCTAAGTATTCCTTTCAATAAAAAGGGAAGAAAATAAGCAAACAAAATTCCCCCCAAGTTGTTCATCACTTCACTCTGATTGTAAGGGATTCTGAAGAAGGTCCAATGGAGAAATAAGGCCTAACTTTCTCTGTAAAGGTATCACGGAATCCATCCAAGAATGACCTGCTATTCAAATTGTAAAATGAAACCTCTCCCAACTCATAGTCCAGAAAAATGCCAATCTTATGTTGCTGTGCACAGAAAATGTGGAGTAAATTAGTCTTCTGCTGATATTGCCAGCATCCATTGCTTGGGGATGGTGATCTGAGAGTATTTCTGAGGATGGATTCTTTACACACACCTAAGAAACAATCACCTGTGCCTCCTATTTCTACCTGCCAAAAACGCCTGCCAGTATCAACGCCTTCAGAACTCAGGACAGCCGGGGAAGAAGTGCATGCCTCGGGATTAGGAAGACCATCTGGTCTCCTATAGGTCACACTTTTTCTATCTCTTGAGATAATGAGACTTGAATGGGCAGTTTCAGGATCCAGTGTCAAATCTACCTGAAACGTGCGGATCATTTTATGCAGGCCCAAGTAGTGTGGGGGGAGACAGCAACTCCTCTTTAATTCATATGAAAACACTGCTGGGGTCTCTATGTTTCCATAGCTGTTGTGGATGCTTTCAATGCCTGTGAGTAAACCCAGGCCTGTCTGCAAACACTTCTCTTCTATTTCACTTAACAGAATGTTTAACCTGAACATATGGTATGAAATTTGCTTTCCGTTTTCAATTAGTTTTTCTTCAACATCATTCTCTTCTATAGGCAGATCGTTATCAATTTCATCTCGCTCTCTTTCCAATAAAAACTTAAGTTCGTTACATTCATAGTCCAATTCCTCCCTCCATTTTTTCATCTTTCTCTTTACTTCCCAAGTATTTGCAACTTGCTTTTTATATACAGTTTCATCACTTTCAAGGCTGTTAGTGAGGGTCCCAATGTGCCTTTTGAGCATCCCTCTCTGACTAGCTGCTGCTTCCTCAATGGGGATCAGGGGCTGATCCGGGGGGTCTGAGGGGTCCTTGCACTGGAGACACAGCAGCTCCAGGCTTGTCTCACAGAACAGGGTCAGAACCTCACAGTGCTTCCCACACAGGGGTATTTCTTCCTGCATTTTCCTCTTGCTCCCTGAGGTGGGGATCTGCTTAACAATCTCAATCATGTGACATAAATGGGTGTTCCTCTCCAAGCTCCTGTCAGGGCAGTGGTGGAGGCAGACAGGACAGGGAAAGGTGCCCTGTAGACCTTTCCAGCGCTGGTGGATGCAGGAGGAACAGAAGTTGTGCCCACAGGCAATGGTCACTGGGTCTCTCAGGTAATCCAGGCAGATGGGGCAGCTGGCCTCTGCTTGGAGCTTGGCCAGGGAAGCTGCAAAGGCCATGGTGCAGTGAAGGTGACTATCAGAAGAGACTCCCTTCAGTCAGTGTGATCCTCCAGGAGCGAGGAGAAGTGAGAAGCGGAGGTCTGCTCAGGCCTCCCTCTCTGTGCAACTTAGTAGGAGCTTCCCAGAAGAGTTCCAGTGGCCAGCAGACGTGTAGTCTTCCTGTCACCTTCTCCTGCAGTTAATGTCAGGTTCCCCAAGTGAAGATCAGCTGCGGACTCTGGTCAAAAACCAAGCAACACACAAGTCATAAGTAGTTTCTGTGGACAAAAAGATATCACCATTAAAAGTTCAAGCAGCATCGACCCTTCCCTCCCCGTATGAACAGCATGTCAGGTAGTCCAAATCAGTTATTATGACAATATTAAGGAGGAGTTAGAAGTAAAGTCTACCTATTTTGCAACTTAAGAGGAATTAATCAATCTAAGCAAATTCATCATTGCCCTCGACCATCACAAAAAAAGTGATCTTGTGCTGCGGGAAAGAGACAAGGATTTGTAAACCAGGAGCGAGGCCCTGCCTACCAGAGGACGCTTCTTTGTGAAGTCCCCACGTGAGTCACCGTCACCATGTCGGAACAGGAGGCAAAACCCTCAACAGGGGACTTGGGGAATAAGAAGGAAGGAGGATACATTCAACTCAAAGTCATCGGACAGGACAACAGTGAGATTCACTTCAAAGTGAAAATGACATCTCACCTCAAGAAACTCAAAGAATCATGCTGTCTAAGACGGGGAGTTCCAATGAACTGGCTCAGGTTTCTCTTGGAGGGTCAGAGAAATGCGGATAATCACACTCCAAGAGAACTGGGAATGGAGGAGGAAGATGTGAGTGAAGTTTATCAGGAACAACAGCAGGTCATTCAGTGGTTTAGATATACTTTTTCTTTTCCCTCAGTCTTTTCTTATTGTTAAAAATAGTACCTTAATACTTGGGTGGTCAAAACGGAATTGATAAGTGACCCTCCCCCGCTCATCTCTTTAAAACCTCTGGTAATTTGAATTCTAGTGCCCATTATTCATTATTGTTGGTTTTCATTGTGCTGAGTTTTGGTGATCAAGCCTCAGCCTCCTTCACATCACCCTCTCCTTTTGAAATATTACATGTGTGCACAGGGAGGCCACCCTTTTCAGGACTGTGCATTTTGATGCTTGTGATAAATTAAGACTCTCTTTTAGAAATATATAATAAAAAGTTTACAAGTAAACTCATAGAGATTTCCTGCCCAGAAATGGCAAAAGGTTGGTACGACTATAGGAAGAAGTTGCAAAAGAGGTTACTTATAAAATATGGGTTCTTCATACATGAAGTCATAAGATTTTCTCTCCTATTCTGAATACCTAGAATATTCTATAATTTACTTTTTAAAAAATTAACCATTTGAATTCCATTTCAGTGTTTCTCTGCTCTCTTCTAGCCAAAAATGTCTCTTCTATTTCCTTCTTTAAGCTTCATCCATGTTCCTTCATCTCAGAGTTCTCAGATCCACTTCATCTCCTTTCTTCCTCACAGTTATTTCAAACTGGTCCCCTTTCTCCACTCCAAATCCATCATCTGCTTCCCTGTTCCCACATCCCATCCCCACCCAACAAATCTCCCATACTGAGATAAATTGCGATTGAGAAAAGACCAAGGCTGGCATTAAAGTGCCATCTGCTTGTAGGTTATGTGGGCTGGATTTCAGGTCTGATCTCAGTCCGCCTGTGTCATTGGGGATGGGATTTTTGATCATCTGTTCCTCCAGAGACAGATGCAACCAGGAAAATAGTAACTGCCTCCCTTTCAGTTTGGTGTCAGCATACACATCAATTTAGGGAAACCTCTTGGAACCTCTGGTTTTATTTTTTAAATATATTTTTATTGATTTCAGAGAGAAAAAGAGAAGAAGAGAGAGATAGAAAGATCAATGTTGAGAGAGAATCATTTATTGGCTCCGTCCTGCAGGCCCAACACTGGGATGGAGTCCATAGCCTGGGTATATGCCCAGGACCAGAATTGAACCCAGGCGCTCTATTCACTGAGCCAAACTGACTAGGGCAGAACCTCTGGTTTTAAACAAAAATATTTGACAACAGACACTGAGACATTCTAGAAGAGGATTCCCACAGGCAACTTCAGACCAGTACTTCAGGGCACTTTCCAGGTGCAGATAGACATTAAGTCACCTCTTAGGTCAGATTGGGATCCTGGTATCTGTATTTTTAGCAAGCATTTTGATGAGGCAGGGCAAGGCTGAGGGACACCAGCAATAATGAAAGCATGTGTCATAAAATAACATGAATCCAAGAGATGATTGGCTTGTGAGGTAAAGTCAAGGCCCTGCTAGAGTAGCCACCCAGAAAGCCAAGGGTGGGGAGCAATACCTCCATGGCTCTCAGTTTGGTCCCACCTCCTGCATCAGTATCATCCCGACTCCCATCTTACCTGGGGCCTTTGAGTGAGTCCCTGAAGTGTGTCTCCAAAAAGAGTCTCTGAAGTCAGTCTCCTACCCGTTAAATGCTTAGTAATGTGAGCCTGGCCTATATATACCACTAGGAGGGTGAATCTCTTTAAGACCTCACCCATCAAAGGCTCCTCCTTGGAGGTGGGACTTGTGGGCGAGGGTGGGGGTAGGAGGATGTTCAAAAGTCTGGCTGATGGGATCTCCTCTTATTCCTGAAGGCTAGGAGGGACTAACCTTGTTAATATGCATAATCTGATTTGCACCTTTGTAATCCTCCCTTGAATGTCTCAACACCCTTTATTCCTATTTGGCTGAGGAGTAAACTGAAATGAAAAGTAAAATCTTGCCCTAGCGGTTTTGGCTCAGTGGATAGAGCATCAGCCTGAGGACTGAAGTGTTCCAGGTTTCATTCTGGTCAAGGGCACATACCCAGGTTGCAGGCTCAATCACCAGTGGGGGGCGTGCAGGAGGCAAGTGATCAATGATTCTCTCTCATCGTTGATGTTTCTATCTCCCTCTCCCTTCCTCTCTGAAATCAATAAAAATATATTTAGGCCCCTCCTGGGGGCCTGTGTTTCTGGAGCCTAAGCCAAAGAGCTTGTTTGGGGGGCGGGGTGCCCCCTCGACCAGAGTGGTGTGGGTGCGCTCGGCAACCCCTGGCGTCTGCATGTGAGTGGATTGCGGGGGGGACCAACTGGGGGGCGGGCACTGCAGCTGGACCGAGGCCACAGGGGTCGTGGCTGTTTATACTGGGCGCCCGAGCGTGGCCTGCACCCACCCGATGTTTACGTGTGTGAGTGGCAGAGGGGTCCCTGCCTGGTGCCCACCGGAGAGCCTGCGGAGTCCCTCGAAGTTGGTGCTAGCCCTGGTCCCACCCCGCATGCCTAATGCCTCGCCCGCAGCCGCCGGTCACACGCGGTGGCCACGGATCCCCGGCCACGAGGCCCTCCCCGCGCACCCACCCGGGATCGACGTACACTTACACTTTTTTATTCCCAGACGCGTGTCCCCTCCAGCCCCGACCTGGGGTCAGTGCCTTATTTGTCCCGCTTTGCGGAGGCTCCTCTGGGCTTGTCCTCAGATGGTCTGTGGGTGTCTTTCAGAAAATGGTGATTTTATATGATTTGTCATGGAATTTGTTCCACTAGGTCATTCTATCACGTGGCAATATATATATATATTTTAAACTAATAATAAACGTAAAATCTTTGCTTCCTTTCCAACTTGGCCCTGGCATAGTGGCTCCCGCAAAGAAGAGTGGAGAGAAGAAGGGCCTTTCTGCCATCGAGGAGGTAGTGACCAGAGAACACACCATCAACATCACAAGCGCATCTAAGGAGTGGGTTTCAAGCAATACATGAAATATATCTGCATTTTGGTGTAAAAAACAAAACAAAGACCTGTAGATATATTTTTTCGTAAATAACAAATTCTACGGAGCATTTGATATCTTGCTTTCCAGCAATTATCATCATTTGGGGCTCAAATCAATGCTTATAAATTATTTATTTATTTTTGTTAATCCTCATCCAAGAATTCTTTTCCATTCAATGTTAGGGAAAGTGGAAAAGAGAGGGAAAGACAGAGAGAAACATTGATGTGAGAGAAACAATAGGTTCCTCCTGCATGAGCCCAGACAAGGGCCCGGGTGGGGGAAGAGCCTGCAACCAAGGTACGTGGCCTTGATTAGAGTTGAACTCGGACCCTTTGGTCCACAGATTGACAGACTATCCACTGATCCAAACTGACTAGATCTCTTAAAATTATTTTTTTAACAGGAAAATGTACCAACACAGCACATAGTAGTCTCACATTATATTATGAAACTATTAAAATCTAATGAGTGTCTAAATGCTTATATATTGCAAATGATTAGTATTTTTTTTTTTTTGGTAGATATGATGACTGGAACTGTGAGCCAAGGTGTTTTTCCCCAAGGTCACATCTCCCATCTCGGAAGAATGAGCTACACGCACCAGAAGATTTAAGGAAAAGTATGGAAAATTTATTACAAGCAGATTCACAGTCCCTGCAAGGGGCGGAGTCCCAATAGTGCGCTGCCTGGTAAAGCCTTGCAGTCCAGGGGTATATACTGGTATTTACAACAAGCCTGCTCTATGTCTACCTGTGTCATCACCTGATTGATTCCCTCAATTGTTTTTGCCCAGCAACGGCCCTGACTTTCCCTGTTTCTATGTGTTCGTTCTCTGTTCCTATGCTGAACTTTTTCTCTTTCTGTGTGTTCATACATCTTGGTTACTGCAGGCCCTCCCTTGGTTTCCCATGCCTCCTGCTTTGAGGCCACAAACATTTCATGGTTTCTGCTTGGTTGGTTCCTGTGGTTCGGCTGCTCAAACTGCCATGTCTGCCCCCACCTATGTTTCACCTGCCTTTGTTTTCCACTGGACGCTGCCCTACCTGCCTGCATTTCAAGTTAACCCCCTCCCATACAGAAGACAGGTAAGGAGGGGCAGGCAGGAAAGGTATAAGGAGGTTGGGTGACCTCTCTCCAAGGTGAGAGAACAATTTGCTTTCCAGTGTGTTCTATTTAACAAGTGATTTCTATTAAATTTATCTATATTGTTCTAATTTTTAAAATGCTTCCTAACAAATAACCCTAAATGATGTTCATCAGAAAAGTGCTACAATCCAGGTGTTAGTTTTGCTCACCCTGTTTGGACACAGCCATTCCTGTGGAGGAAGTCCTCAAGTCACATGATCTCTGTTGTCTGGAGGGTCAGTTTCCTCATAGTGGGGACTCTGATGTGATCTGTGCACCCAGGCTTCTGTCTCAGGGCCACACATCTACTGAGAGCTCATAAAATGTTTGCTGGATGGCCCTAGCCGGTTTGGCTCAGTGGATGGAGCATTGAAGAGTCCGAGGTTCGATTCTGCTCATGGGTAGATTCCTTGGTTGCGAGCTTTATCACAGGCTCTGTCTGGTCTGGGCTCTGAAGAAGGCAACCAATGGATGTGTCCCTCTCACATCGATGTTTACCTTTCTCTGTTCCCCAACCCCCCACACCCTTTTCACTCTCTCTGAAAATAAATGGGGGGGAAAGGTTTGCTGGATACATAATTCAATGATATCTCTAAGTGGGATTAATGAGATCAGACAGACCTGGTTAGAAATGCAGATCTGACTGTTTCCAGCCTCCCCTGCAGATGATTTTGTCAGGAGCAATGGGCAGATCAGAACATATGAGAGTCTCTATCCCAACCAAACCAAGTGTTTGCTATTATGCCCCTAGGAAAGCCTGGATGGCAGCTGCCCCCAGGCTGCTTCGTAGAATATCAGTGCAGCGCAATGAAGGTGTAACTGTCTGGCAGACCCTGTTCTTCCGGGAGGCCTGGGCTGAAGAACCAAAGATGTAATCTGAGCATGGAGCCATGATAAGAAACCTGGGAATTTCCACACTTTTTTTAACCCTTACCTGAGGGTATACTTAGTGAGAGGGAAGGAGGGAGGGAGGGAGGGAGGGAGGGAGGGAGGGAGGGAGGGAGGGAGGGAGGGAGGGAGGGAGGGAGGGAGGGAGGGAGGGAGGGAGAGAGAGAGAGAGAGAGAGAGAGAGAGAGAGAGAGAGAGAGAGAGAGAGAGAGAGAGAGATTCTGACTGGGGTGGAATGAACCCAAAACCTGCATGTATGCCTGACCAAGAATTGGACCCATAATGGGATGATGCTTCAAGCAATTGAGCCACCTGGCAAGGACAAAACATTTTCATAACAGAACTGGTGTATTAACTCAGTAATGTTCAATTACATTTTAAGTGGTAGATTCAAACCCAAAAGATCTGCTTAAAGAGGTTGGGTCTTTCCCTGAGCAGTGTGGGTCAGTAGATTAGAGTAATCATCCCATACACCAAAAGGTTGTTGGTTTGATCTCACATAAGGGTAAACGCCTATATTTCCAATTAGATCCCAGTCATGGTGTATATGAGAAGCAACCAATCAGTGTTTCTCTCACATCGATGTTTTTCTCTCTCTCTTTCTAAAATCAATAACCATGTCTTCAGGTGAGGTTTAAAAAATAAGAAAGAAAAATATCTGACTTATTATTATTTTTTTTTAAACCTTACCCTAGGATATTTTTCCACGGATTTTTAGGGAGAGAGGGAAAGGCAGAGAGAAACATTGATGTGAGAGAAAAACACGTCAATTGGTTGCCTCCTGCACAAGCCCCAACCAGGGCCAATCTGGGAGGCGCCTAAAACTAAGGTATGTGCCATTGAGTGAAATCAAACCCACGACCCATTGGTTTGGGGGTTATTCAATGGTTTAGATATTCTTTTCCTTTTCTTTTCCCTCAATCCTTTCGTATTGCTAAAAATAGTTCTTTTGTAATGTGGTGTTCCAAATGAAATGGAAAAGTGACCCCCGCCCCTTCCTGACATTTTTTTTTTTTTGACAGACAACTGTTTAGTTCTTATTTCATAATCATAAACTTAACTCTGCAATCCAGCTAGACTGGGAAGGGGTAGGGAAATTATGGAACCCAATAAACTGGCAAGAGCACAAAGATTATGGAACATTTCCAAGCAAATCGGGGTGAAGGGGTGCTCTCCTGAGCTACAGAAGGAATGGTCTGGTGGTTAAGATAAAACACAAGTCAAATTTATTAGAGTTGCCCACAGTCAGCAATGGTGATCTTCTTGCTGGTCTTGCCATTCCTGGACCCAGAGCGCTCCATGGCTGTCACAATATCCATGCCTTCACCTGGCCGAAGACCACATGCTTGCCATCCAACCACTCCGTCTTGGCAGTGCAGATGAAAAACTGGGAGCCGTTTGTGTTCGGCCCAGCATTTGCCATGGACAAGATGCCAGGACCGGTATGTTTCAGCATGAAGTTCTCATCCTCAAATTTCTCCCCATGGACTTGCCGCCTGTGCCATTACGGCGTGTGAAGTCACCACCCTGGCACATAAATCCCGGAATAATTCTGTGAAAGCAGGAACCTTTGAACCCAAATCCCTTCTCCCCAGTGCTCAGAGCATGGGAGTTTTCTGCCGTCTCTGGAATTTTGTCTGCAAACAGCTCCAAGAAGACGCGGCCCAGGGGCTCGCCATCAGCGGCGCTGTCGAAGTACACAGTGGGGTTCACCATGGCTGCCCACGGGTGGCTTCGGGGCAGCGGCGTCTGCAAAGCCCTGACACTTTAAAACCTGTGGTAGAGAACCTAGACACAGAACCTACACAGAACCTAGAGGCAGAACCTAGAGACAGAACATGGTAAAAGATCCTGGACAGAAACTGGCCACAGAACCTAGAGACAGAACCTAGCGAGAGAACCTGGCTGAAGAACCTAGAGACAGAACCTGGCTACAGAACCTGGATAGAACATGGCAAGAGAACCTGACTAGAACCTGGTGACTGAACCTGGCTGGAGAACCTGGACAGAACCTGGCTGGAGAACCTAGCGAGGGAACCTGGCTACAGAACCTGGCTGGAGATCCTAGACAGAACTTGGCTGGAGAACTGGCTACAGAACCTGGCTAGAGACCCTGACAAGAGAACCCGGCTATGATGATCACCTGAAAAAAAAACCAAAAAAAAAACCTGTGGTAATTTGAATTCTAGTGCCCATTATTCATTATTGTTGGTTTTCATTGTGCTGAGTTTTGGTGATCAAGCCTCAGCCTCCTTCATATCGCCCTCTCCTTTTGAAATATTACATGTGTGCACAGGGAGGCCACCCTTTTCAGGACTGTGCATTTTGAGGCTTGTGATAAATGAGGTGGGCCAATACAAGTGTTCATAATACTTCTAATAGGCCCGGAAGTGCTAGCATGTGATTGCTTCACTTCTGGACTATGACTTTCAGTGGGAGGTGGGAGTTTTTCAGTGAACTGAACTGTGGAATTATGACTTTTCATCAGCTTAAAGCTACTTTTAAAATCTGAAGGTCTGACCAAAAGAAGAGGAATATCAAGTTGGAATCAAGATGACAGATAAGGTGAGAGTAAGACTAACTCCAAAGACGCTTCACTGAAGAGAAAGCATTTCAATAGTAAAGAAAAATCTTGTCAGAATGCTGGAAGCCAATTCTAGCATGTCATAATTGCAAGAGTTTCATCAAAAGGTTGATGGAACTTGGGGACTCAACAAGGGCTGAGTCACATATGTTATCACCTGTTGGGGATGGCTAAAGGCATTTCCCCAAACCTGAAAAGGGATGATTGCTTGCTGCCAGACAGCTCAGGGCATCTTAATCTACATGTTATTGCCTCCTACTGGCCAAACACCTGAACAGCCGTAGGCTAATTCTTCCATTCTGACAATGCCTCTGTATATGAAACCCTGACCCTTTGAAGTGTATTTCTCTGCCTCGCATCAGGACAAATTGTGTTAATAAAAAGCATGGGGTCCTGAGACAAGGAGATCTTAGTTTCCTTTAAACTAGGCTCCTCTGACCCCCAAATGCCTTTCAAAATTATATTTCATCTCTGGACTCCTATTTAATCTACTCACAGCCTTCTCCAAATGTCCTGAACCCTTCTCGATGCTGGAACAAGAACTCCGGCATCAGAAGATCCAAGAAAAGTTTTAATTTTCACCAGCATTTAATAAATTTATTCATGCAGAAGAATGTGCAACAGAACACAGCTCTTTTTTATTTTATTTTACATTTCAGCCTGGGATAAGACTTTGTATATCAGCTTTATTAAAGCAAACAAAATATTTAGGGGGAAAAAGTGATCTTGACCAGGGAGCTCAGTTGGCTGGAGCATGGTGCAGATGTGTCAAGGTTTCATGTTCAGTTCATGCCCAGTGCCCAAGCAATAATCGAGGAATGAATGCAAAAACAAGTGGAACAATATCTCTCTCTCTCTCTCTCTCTCTCTCTCTCTCTCTCTCTCTCTCTCCCCCCCCCCCATTCCATAACTCTAAAAGCCAATTAATAAAAAAATATATATACATATATATACATTTATATATATATATATTATAAAAAGTGGCCTGTGTGGCTCAGTTGGTTGGAGTGTTGTCCCATGAACCACAAGGTCACAGGTTCCATTTGGGGTTGTGTCATGTAAGAGGCAACTAATCCAAGTATCTCCCTTACATTGATCTGGCACTCTCTCTCCATCTCAAAAAAAGAAAAATACTAGTAGATATACAACTGTTGGAGGGACTATACCATTATTTGTGAGGAAGTTTTGCCAGATAAATGTAAATCTCATCAGAGTTCTAAACCATCTATTTACAGACAATATAAGGCAGCGGTTCTCAACCTGTGGGTCTCGAACCCTTTGGCGGTCCAACGACCCTTTCATAGGGGTCGCCTAAGACCATCCTGCATATCAGATACTTACATTACAATTCATAATAGTAGCAACATTACAGTTATGAAGTAGCAACGAAAATAATTTTATGGTTGGGTCAAAACATGAGGAACTGTATTTAAAGGGCCAGAAGGTTGAGAACCACTGATATAAGGGATTGAGAAAACTCAGTCGAATAATCTGGTCAATTTAACCTGTCAACTTGATTGGGCCACTGGATAGCCAGGTAGCAGCTGAAACACTAATTCTGGGTGTGACTGTGACGAGATTTCTGGAAGAGATTAGTATTTGAATCTGTGGATGAGCAAAGCAGACAGCCCTCCACATGTCAGTGGGCAACATCCAATCCACTGAGGGCCTGCAGAGAACAAGCACCTGGGAAGGCTGCATTCACTCTGCAAGACTCAATGCACCAGCACATCCACCTCCTGTCCTGGGTGCACCTGGTTCTCAGACCCACACTGGAATCTGTACAGTCTCTTCTCTGACTCAGGCCTTCACAGTACAGTTGACTAAAAGCCATAGAAGTCAGTTATTTTGTATGTATAAATCTAATTTCATTTCATTTTGAAATATTTGATCAAATTTCAGTTGGAAGTTGGATATTTGAGGATTAAAACAACCTTGTTGATGATTATGTTACACTGAGGTAATGATTGGCATTAGTGGCATGTAAATTGCCCTGGCAGGTAGGTCAGTTAGTCCCAATATGCCAAGGTTTCAGATTAAATCCGAGGTCAGAGCACTTTACAAAAAGCAACCAACAAATACATGACTGAATGGAACCACAAAATAAAATCAATGCCTCTTTCTCATTTCCAATCTCTCACTCTCTCTTTCTCTCTCTGCCTTGCCCCATCCTCTCACTCTTTATAAGAAAATAAGTTAAAAAAAGAAAATTACTTTAAAAATTTTAATGCAGAAGTATGTAAATTAAGAGTCTCTTTTAGAAATATATAATGAAAAGTTTACAAGTAAACTCAGAGATTTTCTGCCCAGAAATGGAAAAAGGCTGGTACGACTGTAGAGAAAAGTTTCAGAAAGCTTAGTTATAGAATATAGGTTCATCATAATGACTTCATAAGACTTCTC